ACATTTCTCCATTTAGCTTTGTCCTGCAATGCAGGGAGACATACTTTTTAAGCAGATTCCACTTATATATAAATATTCCCTCAAAACAAATTCAGCTACACAAATCTGATGATCATGAAGGCCATTCTTTCATCACAACAAAAGTCTATACTACTAAGGAAAAAATATGTTTGGCTAAACTACAAATTTAAAATCCACTGGAACAGTGCAGAACAACATTTGACTCATAAATCAGCATTCTGACTAATGAATAACAAAACTGGAAGTATCCTGCTGAGGCCCTGTGTAGAAACTGCATTTTGGTTCAAGGCCTTAAAGTTATCAGTAATAGAGCTGCACCTGATTGACTAATGAAAGCAAAATGTTAAATTTCCTGTAACGAGAGTCATGAGAACTCTGACACGGTCTAATCAGCTCTTTGGCCCTGCATTGTATTTGCACAGGGTGCTTGTTTACCCTGAAATAACAAGCTCTCCGGGGTAGAGAGCAATCACACACTGTCACACTTCACTAGTATGTTATACCCTATAAAGAGGAAAGCCTCTATTAGTATAAAGTTCAGCCACAGAGCTGTGTCTTTCATTTCTTGGTGTTATGGAACCCATTGCATTCCATGTAGATCCTTGCCCTGGGCTTTGGAATCAGCTCCATCAATATAGTAAGTAGAAAAAAATTCTTGAGGCTTACAGAAAGAAAAACTACTTATGCATAGACCTAAACGTTATAGGAAAAAACTATTGCCCTCCTCTCAGTTTGTGTTCAAATGACTTCAGAATTAACTAATACAGTATATACAAATGGTCACTATTTCAAGTATTTGAGTAAATATTTGCCCTTTCTTGTCTCTCATATTCCTTTTTATCCTCAAGCAAAACAACTTGTGGCTCATTTACAACGTGTGGATCATATTTATGATTCTGTACAGTAGGAGCAGAAAAAACCAATCTTGATTCAAAGAGCACAAACTGCTGTAGTTCACAGTTCATAGCCCTAACTAAAAAGTTGGAATAGGCATTTTGAGATAAACTTATAATGCACTTACATTATCATTTTGTGGGTTTGCAGCATATATTTTCAGAAGGATCTAGGTGATTATGTTAGGTGTAATTAGAATATATGAATTTGTATTAATAAAGGTTGAATGCAGAAAAGGCAAAATGAAAAATTCATTGCAGAGGTAAAATAGCTTCAGTTTATATACACATAGCAATGTGTTCTTTAACAGATTTTCTTCCTAGTTTATAATAACACAACCCCACTGAGACTGTGGATATGCCATATTGAGTTCCTGAACTTGTCTGGCATTTTCTTCTCATGCAACAGTGACAATGATCTGTTTTCCTCATTCAGTGATGGCCCTTACTTGTGTGATTGTTAAAAATAAAATATTATGGAGTGCTTTGTGAAAGAGGCAACATTTGGTGAATAAACAGGGGCTCTGAGGAAATCAACTACATTGCAAGTCATGAGCAACAGACAAAGGTCAGCAGGACAATTACTGCCCTCACTGTAATGGCTCACTGGGGAAAAACAAGAGCAAAGTAGGTGACCCATGTCTCACAAAGATGACTTGTATGTGTCACTACGTGAACATCCAAAGATGCACAGCAATACAGAAACAGAAGAGAACATAAGCAAGGAGCAAACAGAGTAAAGGAATAAAAAAAAAGGAAAAGTTGGAAGAAATACCTGACACATCATTGGGAGGGATATCAATGACACAGACAATGTGGTTATGAAGATGAATGTGTGCTACATAAAGCTGGAAGAGAGGGTGCATCTTCAGACAGCGAGCCAGACACTAGTCACAGCAGTATCAATATGGACTATGCACAGCAATAGCTCCTCTGTGTTTGTACCCAAGAGGAGAATTTGGTCACTGGCAACTGGAAACCAGGACAATAAGCCAGAGTCTTGTCCAGTGTCATCTACAAAATGCTGTTACCATTTCATGTTACCATGAAATGTTTTCTACGTTCTATGTTTTACCAACCAAAATCTATTGTTTACTTTTGCACCTGGTAAGGCCATAAGTAAATTCCTTTCTTTCTTGGTTACCAACTTATAAATGGCTGTTCCAACACAGCCAAAACCCACTATAAGCCAACTGACTTGTACTGCTTAATTTAACCAGGCCAGTAGGGCCATATGCTGGAGTACTACACAGGAGGATCACTCGTGCAGTTATGTGTTCTCCAAAGGGCTTTCCCATCTCTGTGTACACCAATGACACAGAAACACAATCTACCCTTTAACCTTTCTAAGGGGTAATCTCTAATTTTCTCATGGAGCCCCCATACCTACTATAGTACTGTGGCAACCATTATCAGGCCAACAGAACTCCTTTTGTCTTCATTATCACTGGTCATGTGTGAGTCACTAACAGCTGTCTGTAAACAAACTGCTTAGCAAGGTATTTATTGATATATTCCAAAGCCTCAGAGTAGTATCATTTGAAACAATATTATTGCTATACATACCAACTACTTGAACTGCTACAAAGGCTGTCCAGTGATACCTCCCTTTGTTTCCAAGGGGTATGTAGGAAAAGACCCTCATGACTTCCAGAAGAGAACAACTTCCAGAGAAAAGCACTAAAATGCTATGAAATTTTTTGTTGCTTAAGGTGATTCTGCATCTATACCTGTATTTGTCAGCACAATATTGTCACATTAGTCAAGCCAGTGCACTTTCTACTCAGAACCTCAACTGCATTTAACCTTTGGAAAGTATATAGGAATTCAAGCATTTTTATTAAATCACGGAAGAGTCTAGAAAGAGATATTACTATCAACAAACTTGGGCTTACCTAAGTATTAACAGTCATTACTCTAACAAACTGTCATCCAAGGAATGGCAAGGTCCAGCTTCTTCCTGGTGGACAGAGAGCCCAGTCAGGTAGCCAGGCTGGTAGGGCAGGGGCCACACAAGTTACAACCTGTCCCACTGCTTCTAGGCAAAACACACATGGAGCTAGAGATGACAGTCAGGATGCGCAGAGTCCAGGCAAAGATGTAGTAACCAAGCAGGAACAAAATCAAGCCAAGAAGAAAAAAAAAAATTCAGTCCATAGGTTACCAGAAACCACAGCTCAGCAAAACCCCAGGAGCTCCAGGCCAGAGCTTAAATAGAGTTCCAGCACCCACAGGAAGCAGCGTGGGCAGAAGCCCCAGCTGAAGCTGGTCAAGGTCGTAAAGGTGTATTAGTCCACCCAGAGCCCTGACAACACTTTGGAAGCAATAGGGACACAGTGTTTACACATGGCTACAATCAGTTAGCAGGTGCCTAACGAAAAGGGTACCAAAAAGTTCACTTGACCATTTCATGGGCTTTATGGTATCACTGCATTGCTGTATTCTTTTTTTTTTTTCACCTACTTTCACCAACTCAAGATCAAGGGCTTTATTAAGATACTTGAAAAAATCCACACTTTTTTTTTTTTTTAATTTCAACTTTGTGGCATCTGCTAATACTGTCTAAATCCCCCATATCTGTATTTTCCTGTAAAAGGACTATTTGTAGAACAGTTTTACTGTATTTTAGTCTAGGATATATACCTTTTCCCACATTTTTTCCCGATACCCTCCCTATCTCTTAATCCTAAAACATTCCTAATATATTCATACTTGAATCAGTAGAAAAGGATGGCAGAGGCTTATCCCTGCAGGAATTCTGCAGCTATGCTTGTGGTCTAAGCAGTACAGACTATCAAAGAAAAAGTCAGAAAAAATATCAGAAAGGTCAGCAACAGACTTCCACTAGGCTCTCCTTAAGTTGCCACCTTCTGTTCTCACAAAGGGAGAGTAGGTAAAGAATCCAAAAGATAAAACTAGCTCAGCCTATTTTTGAACTATTTCTTTCAGCTGTTTTTGTTTGCACTATTATAAAACCTTGGCAGGCAAGGAAAATATTCTTAGAATAGCAGATTTCTTGCTTTGTTCCGCATCTGTTCCAAAACCATACAATGTATTTGAACAGCTGGCCAGTAACATGCAATGATCAAGCGTGGCAATGACAAACGATCACATTGTTTGATGAGGACTAAGGTTTCAAAGCTGAAATAAACCCTCAGATGTACATCTTGGTCTTAGGGCTACATGTTCAGATTTAAATCATAGTTTTTATTTTTCTTGAACTGAGCTTTTTATTGGCAGTAAAGGACAAACAAGTACTCTTTATATCAAAATAAAACACTGGAACCACTCTGCAGAAAAGAATTTCCTGGTGGTGTTGCTAGGACGAGAACCAGAGGGGCTCGTTCCGGCCATGTGTCATTACTGTACTGCACGTAGCTTTAGAATCTTGAAATTATGTTTTGTTCTTTATACAAACATTGAAAGATGATCTGAAGAATAACCCCTGATGAGCATTCATACCTCCTTCTCTGTCCTTGTCTCCTTTGTGACTTTTTATCCAGGGGGATACATCACCCTATTCTAAAATCCCCATTTACAACCTCGGGCCCAGCTATGTTGGTCTCCAGTATTGCCCACCTGCCCACCTATAAAGTGAAGCTTGACTTTATGCCTACAACCTTCATAAAACCTATCTTTACATTTAAAAAACTCCAAGAGCATGTCAAGGTCATTTTTATGTGTAGGAAATAACATCAGCCTAAGCTAAGCTCTCAAGTGACATTTCTTGTAACTGCCACAACAAACATAATAACAGTTACAGTAATGTTCAGAGATTTTGGTGCTCATACTGAATGAGATCTCTACAGCATTTGCTCTACAAAATGTATGTGAAAAAGTGTACATTAATTACCTACTGGAAAAAACCTGACAACTATCACTGTACATATCACTACTAAAAAAGTGCTGAAGCAACCTGATTGCTGAAGCAATCAGTACTGAACACTATTTTTTATAAAATGTAATATGTAATTGGTGTAAGGCTTTGCAGACTGCTTCACACAGTTGTCTTTATGAAGGTTCTCTTTCCACCTCCGTTCTATCGCACTGGGATGGCTGACAGGAAAGCTAAAAACGATCACCAAGAGCATGACAAAAAGGTTATTTTCATCAGCTGAGCAGTCTGAAAAAACAAAACAGACAGAACAGGCAGAGCACTGACGCAGCATCATGCTGGGGTCCGAGCATTACTGTAGCTGTCATGCATCTTCCTAAACCTGCGATTTTGTTTTCACCCTGGCCCCTTGCACAGGTCTGTGAGAACGCCGGGCTGCGGTAGGCTTTTGCTTCCTCCGCCCTCTCCGGGCAGCACCATTGGACTGATGAGATGCAGCAAGGCACGTGTGAAAGATAAAGCAGGGAAGAGACAGAGGAGGAGGGGGAAGAAAAAAAAAAAAAAAAAAAAAGTCTATTTTCTACGGGAGATCCTGATCGTCCGGCCGGGGCGGCCGCAGGGCTCAGCCCGAGCCCTTTAAGCTGCCCACCCTGGCGGGCAGGCGGCAGCTGCCGGCTATTTGGCGGCTATTTATACCGGGGCGGCGGCGGGCGCTGGGTGTCCTGCGCGGGGCGGTCCCGGCGGCGGGGCCCGGCCGGAGCTGCCATGGCCACGGAGTTCCCCCCCACGCCGGCCAGCGGCACCCGCTCCCTCGGCCGTGCCGCGGAGACGCCGCTGAGCCCGGCGCGGCTGAGCCGGCTGCAGGAGAAGGAGGAGCTGCAGCAGCTCAATGACCGCCTGGCCGCCTACATCGAGCGGGTGCGGGCGCTGGAGGCCGACAACTCGGCACTGCAGCTGCGGCTGAGCGAGCAGGAGGCGGGCACCGACCGGGAGCTGGACTGCCTGCGGCTGCACTACGAGACCGAGCTGGCCGACGCCCGCCGGGCGCTGGATGACATCGCCATCGAGCGGGCTACGCTGCAGGTGGAGCTGGGCAAGATCGGCGAGGAGCACCGGCAGCTCCACGTCAGGTCGGTGCCCCGGCCCCGAGCAGGCCTCCCTGCCCCGGGACACCCCGGGGAGCCGCCCCTCTGGGGCTCCTGCGGGGCGAGGGGAAGGGGATGCTGCTGGCAAGAGCTGTGTGTTGTGGGGGGAATGTATAGGGATGCTGGGTGTCTGGGTCGTGCAGCGGTGACACCTCAAAGGCTCTCTGGGGTTGCAGTGTCTCGGGTTGGGAGACATCTGGATGCCTGTTCTGAAGGTGAGCTGTAGGGACACTATGGGTAGTGCCTCCTCTGGGGTCACTTCACCTGGGATGGGCATGGCGCTCTGTCAAAATTTGGGCGGCTGGGTGCTCTTATAGGGTATGAATGCACAGCTGCATAGGTTTAGCACCACACCTGTGTTCACAAATGATCAAGATGCTGGAAAGTATCTAGAACGCTATAGAAACCATAGAAAGAGTGCTTGTATGAAGTTAGTGCACATCTCTTTTGGGCTGTTTAGCTCAGGCATTGCCCAGAAGGGAATGTCCACAGAAGGCAGTCCTGGGAGTAGTATAGCTTACCTGGTCCAGGTTGGTACTTCATAGGAATTTTCCTAATGGCTTTTGGGTCTGGATTTACATGCTCTTGGGACAAGCTGCATGCTGTTTCAGCTAGACTTTCTTGTAAGCTGTGTATCCTGAGCCTGGAATCATCTTGTTGTCCAGTCTTGCCTAACCTGGAACAAAGGGGTGGCCCGATGTAAGTGCAATTGCATCCTCTTGAAGGAGGGAAGAGGGGTGTAGTGAAGGGGAGGAAACAAATGTCCAATCCCAACAAACTTCCTTTATGGATATATACAACATACTAGTACTGCTAGTTACTTTAATGTCCCCTTGTACCCCTAAATCACTTACAGACTTGTAATAATTTGGGTGTTCACAAGCCTCCTTGTTATAAACACATAATCACAGCAAATTTAGGCACCAGCTTCTTTTAATGCCTGTGTGGAGCAAGTACTGCCCCCTCATAGGCTTAGTAGCTGTTCTGCGTGGGAATAAAATGTTTTTACTCTAAGCTGCTGTTTTCATCTGCATAGTTGTTGTTGGGCTTGTCTCAGTCATGCTGGGTTTTGGCTCACAGATCTGTTTCATAGATCTAACCAGCCACTTGACTGGACAGCGAGGAGAGGGGTAATGCCTGTTCTAAAACTTTTCTGTTGCTCTTTTTGTTTGTATAACTCTGGCTTTGTTTATAAAGCCTTGGACTTGGCAGGTATGCAATCCTCTAGACTGTTGTTTTTTCTTTACTTTAACTAGGTCTTAGAAGTGGTTAAGTTTACAGCCCATGGGGATATGATACCCAGTACATACTGCTTTCTGAAAGGACTAGACTGAAGTCCTAATATTAATGTGTGTTGTATCTGGGCTGCCTAACTGCAGATGTCTCAGATGACTTGGAACAAACTTTGAGGGTATCGTGCCCTTATATATACACCCTTTAAATAACCTGGTGGCTATTTAACTCTTATGGTATGGAATGTCACCAGATAATTTCCCAACAGCATTAACTATTGGCTCTGACAAATCAGAGAGACTCAAAGTTTTTAATGACTTACTGCATTTCAGTTTTTTTCTTATTACTTACAGTGGTGACTGGAAGTAGGCCAAGGATGTTTGGGGAGGAGGAGTTGTAGATAAGTGTATCAGTTGGTTGAATTCAGAGCCTGAGGAAGGTCAAAGCAACTACACTAACACAACAGAGAGAGACAAGACCAGTTCCTTTCTGTACCAGGGAGTATAGATGTGCATTTTACTGCTGAACTGACACACATGGAGTAGCAGCTGAGGCCATAACAATGAATTCTGTACATGCTGTGGACATTTCTCTGGTCTTGGCAAACTGGAGTCTGCTTCACACATACCTGAAATATTCTGGTAAAATTATTTAAATTCTTCAGATCAAGCATATGTGACATCCTGACTTACAGGGAATGTCATTGGCAGTGCCTCAAAGTTTTTGCTTGTAATTGATAGTCAGTAAGTCACACATAATTCCAGAATGGTTGGGATATGGAATGTTGCAGAGTACTGTAACTGTCGCTGCTTGCTGCATGACAGTATGAAGTGGTGTTCAGAACCCCAAACTTGGTTTAAAAGGGTAATAGATGCTCTTGTCAAAGTCAGACTCTTTAAATTATTGTTCTTAAAGAAGAAATTGCTCGCTCCAGGTTTCTTTGAAAATATTTGTCAGGAAGGAATCTAGGAAACCTGAGCCTGGCTGTCAGAGGCTTATGCTGGGGAAGTGGACTGTTAAAACACAGATAGTAATGGAATTTCAGTTTTGCAAACACTTTGATTGCAGAGTGAAATTTATATTATTGTAGGATGAAACGGTCAATATTATTACTATGCTGTAGTAATTATAGTAGTGTTATTGATGTACTTAATATCACGTATAGTACAGTAAGTGGTAGGAGTAGCAAAGACTCAAAAGGAAGGTGAATATCTTGAAAAGAAACCTGTAAATAATAAAACTACGGCACACTGTCTGTTTTTCATAGTTATTGGAGCTACTTTCCTCCTAGAGTCTGAGTAAGGACTAAATAACCTCTGCTAGCAAAGCACAATCAACAAAGGTCTCTGTAGAGCAGGGCTAGAAAAGGCCTTGAACAAGAACCTGATGTAGCCACGTGCCCCAGGCCTGTGTTGGAAGCAGCCATACCTGCATCCCTTCTAGCGGATTTTGTGTAACCCTTATTTTAAATTCCAGATGATGAAGATTGCAGAATATCCCCCCCAGGCAGTGTGTTTCAGTGTTGAACTACTGTTAGTTTCCTCTCCCTAACATCTGACCCGAATATTCCTCCCTGCAATTTAAACCTGCAGCTTCCTGTCTTTTCTACAACAGACGTGGAAAACAGATTCCCTTCATATATGTAAAGACTGTTCTGTCTCCTGTCACTTTTCTGTTCTCTAGACTAAACAACCCTAAGATTTTTCCAGTCTTTCCTTGCAGTCCAGGCTTTCTAGAGCTGGTCAATCCTGCAGAATTGCTTTGGACTCTCTCCAACTCTGCTCTGTTATCCACTGGAAAACTCATTGTATGAACTAACACAACTTTGCCACTTGGCAGAAGAGATTTTGCCAAAACAGATTGAGGCCTTTACTCTTCGCAAGCTCAAATCTGGGTTTTGAGCAGGGACTCAAGACTCTGGATAGCGGGCAGGGCAACTGCAGAAGGATTTTAAAAGTTGGAGTGGTGTGGGGAGTTATCACTGTGTCCTCTGACAGGAACTCACCGTGGGCCCAGCTCTTCCCTGCCGTGGTGCCAAGTAAAACTGGCAATGCAGTCGTGTTGGCCGTGCAGGCGGTACCTGAGGTACAGCGCCTGAGTGTTGGTCTGGAGATGCCTCTTCCCAAGGCAGAGCTTCTCTTCCCCTGCATCTCCACTGTGGAGGGAGGAGTGCGTGTCCCTTCCCGAGGGGTGCTGTGAGGGAGGGTGGCCCTCGGGCCTCGCTGAGGGGCTGCAGGAGGCAAAGCCCCAGTGGGACAGCAACGCAGCTCCCGGGACTGGCCAGTGGCCTCCGGGGGACAAAGCTCCATCTGTGCTGCGGGGAGGAGGAGCGGCCACAGCCCGGGAGGAGGGGTCGCTTCGCCCCGTGTGTGACCGGCGCGGCCGCCTCAGCCCCTGCGGGTTCCCCCCGGCCATGGCTGTGCGGGCTCGGAGCCCCCGGTGCCGTGAGGCACCTTCCCGGGGGGCTGGCACCTTCCTGGCTTCAGCATAGGATTCACACAGAATGAGCTGGAAAATGGGTCAGGAATCTCTCTGGTTAAACAAATGATGCTTGTCCGAGGGGCCTGTCGGGTTTGTTTTACAGCTCACCCTGTGCTCTCACCGTGAGCGTGATTAACCTCCCTTCTGTTTCACCGCACACCCCTCTGAAGGCAAACACATGAACGCATTGAAAACAAACCCTCCCTCATCAGCTGCAACTTACGAGTATAAAACTTTCACTTGCAGGAATTCCAAAAAGGAAAGTGATTTGAACCTGGCCCAGGCTCGCATGAGAGACCTGGATGCCCAGCTGATCGCGAAGGAAGCTGACTTAGCAACAGCCCTGAACGAGAACCGCACCTTGGAGAATGAGCTCCGTGAATTAAAGGATGAAGTACTCACAGTAAGACTTGCTCTAGGGATTTAAACTTTGCTTCTATTCCTGCAGTTTTTGCGCTTTTTCCCCCAATTACTTATTGATATCTAAAAGCAGGGAAAGCCCATTAACTATGGCAGTGAAGGGTACACACTCTTGCTGAAAGCAATTGCTACTGATAGTTGGTTCCTTAAAACTTCCATCTCCTGCGTGTACCTTTATGACCACAGTATGTAATGTTTCTTGTTCTGAGGTCAAAACAAGCTGAAATTTGCTACAATTCCTGTAGAATTCTGCAACATGCCAAGGAAGGGAGCACTTGAGGGACCCTGCTTCCCAATGCTTAAAATCCAGGCAGAATAAGTTCTAACTACATTATTTGGTAGGCTTTTGTGCTACTAAAATGAACTCTGCTCGAGTTGGTACTCTATCAATGCGCTTATAAGAGCACAGCTTTTGTATCTTCATGCTTTAATGTGTTCATTGAATAAGCTCATTTCGAATTTGTAAGGATGAAAACCCAACAAAACAAACAACATTGTATCATTAAAGCAACATACTCCAACACTGCAAGTGTATAATAGTGTGTCAGTGTAATTAGGCTACATCTGGAGGATTTGCTCATTGTCAAATTATATTGTGAGTTAGGAAGAAGTTCTGAATATTTGCTTTTGTGAAAGGGGAGGAATGGATGGTACAATTGATCAGAAGTCTATTCTGAGGAGTCAAACTTAGCTGGTGGCATTAAGGGCTGCTCTATATTTGCCTTGTGGGAACTCTGACCTACATAAAAATTAAGTAGGATTCTATCTATTGCTAATATTCTGGATCCCACTGAAATAAGAACTTAAACAGAATAACCCACTACACTCAAGCAGCGTGTTTTGGTTGCTGTGGGAGTGAAGTTGAATGATCTGTAACAAATTGGTTGAAACAAATTAGTTTGAAAACATTACCTCTTAATTTTGATAACCCTGTTGTCTGTCCTTTCTAGCTGAATCTGTCACTGGAAGATACCACAAAGCATCTCCACAGTGAAATGTTGAGGAGGGTGGACCTAGAAAATAATATGAAGACTTTGCAGGAAGAAATGACGTTCCAGAAGCGCCTTCACGAAGATGTATGTTTTAGCTTATTAACCACCAATTTTTTTAGGTGTCCATGGATGCACTTAAAAGTAAGGTTAAGATGAACTTAATGCTTAAAAAGGTAACTAGGTGAGCTGACCTATGGCAGCCCATCAGCTAATTGAATCCACCTAACTAGGAAGACTTCAGGAAAGTACACAACCTCATGTTAACTGAGATAGTATCAACAGATATCTGCAATATGAGAGGATTTTCTCAGGCTGCTCTTCTGAACTACGATCCCAGTATACTGTTTTGTGTAAGTGCAAGTGCATATATTACAGTTACGGTTAAATTATTCCAGATGTTTGCTTGAAACCTGAAATAATGGAAGAAATTAAATCTGCGTTAATAAGCAACTTGTGTTCCCAACTTCCTTCACACTTCTTAAAGGTGTCTGGTAACCTTTGTGAGAAAAGTCAGTAAACAGAACTAGGAGACATGTGAACGTAAATCAGCTTCCTTCTTGCTGGTAGGAAACTTAAAGAGTGTGGTTTAAGTGATAGAATTCTAATTTCCCTAACCAACTGCTATCAGTTTTTTAATAAAACAAGAATAGGTGAAGTAACAGTGCCTAAAGAAACTGAAGTGTATCTGCATGTGTTCAAAGGAAAAAAACCCAAACACTATCTAGTGTAAAGAATTAAGTCTTACAATTAAATATGAATTACTGCTTTTATTAGTTTGAGCAATGTTGGCAGTGAGGTGGCAAAACAGTAGTGAGGCAGCTACTGAGTGGGCATACCAGACCTAATGGATGAAGATCTAAGATATGAATAAAGATGAATTACTGTGTACTCAATGAGAAATTTCCTTCAGTAGTGAAGGACTTGTGAAACTGGTACACTTTGAATCTCAAATTGTATTGGCTTGTTTATTCTCTGCAAAATTTCTTCTTCTAGAAACTCAAGGAGACAAGAAGAGTCCATGAGAGCAGGGTAGCAGAAGTAGAATCTGGTCGTCAGAGAGAATTTGAGAGTAAGCTCTCAGAAGCTCTGCAGGGGATCAGAAGGCAACATGAAGAACAAATTCAAGGATACAAAGAGGAGCTGGAGCGAACGTTCAGTGCAAAGGTGAGTTTGTAAAAGAGATCAGTAAAACAAAGCTGAAGTTCTCTGCACCTTCACACAAAGTCATGCTAGCATAAACAGATTATGTGATGGATCCCTTGCATTCACTGTGGAGCTTCTTGGCATAAGTTAAGGAATTTCAAAGCAGTGTCAAATTAGACAGTAGGATTTCTGCAAATGTTTGGTTCTAAAACTGGTTCATGCATAAATACTGTCCTCTTTGGGAAGTGATTAGGAATAGCTGATTATATTTGAGACTTCTGACAAATTTGGGACGAAGGTGTGTTATGTTTATATTAAGCGATTTCAGTCTTGAATAAAGCCTAACTTTTTCTATGCTCTAACTTACATGCCAACTCAGTGAATTCCTTTGGATGCTTCTGTTTCTGTTTTGGCTGGAAAGTCTGAGTGCCTCTTATAGGAGCACTTTATCCTTTCTTGGAAAATCTCAAGATTGAGCTATTTGTAGAGCAATTCAATGCTGCAGGAACTCTTCAGTAACAGACCTTTTGGGGAAGAGCAATAATAGTTTGATATGCACACCCAATGTCCTGCAGCCCTATGCTTTGACAAGCAGCTTCTAAATATATTCTCCATTGTTCTTCTGGAGAATTAATTTACTTAATATCTATACAAAGACCTCATGCATCTCTAACTGAAATATCCTAATCCAGCCATTTTCACTACCTGACTATTGCTGACTTTTTTCTGACAGTGAAAAATTTTGAGCTGGACTTTATTTGTATCTGCACACTTTAGTAAAACCTAACTATTTCCAGATGTAACAGGTGAAAATCACTTGGTTTTCTTTCCGTATTTAAAATATATGATAATATGCAACTCATTGCTAACAGTGATTTATCCACAGATTGAGAATGCCCAGCTAACTGCAAGAAGAAATAGCGAGTCTGCCAATGCTGCTCGGGAGGAGCTGCTGGAAACAAAGAGGAGAATTGATACTTTGGTATCTCAAGTTAATCAGTATCAAAACCAGGTGCTGTCTTTATTTGTATAACGTTTAAAATTATTTTAATTTAGATATTCAATTAAAAATATTGGCCTCTTCTCTCTAATCCTTAGTTACGGTTTGATTTTCTTTTTTTCCTATTCCTTTCATTTTAGAATGTTGCTTTGGAGAGCAAAATAAAGGAGCTACAGGACTTGCTGGATTATGACCGTGATGTCCATCGAAAGCGAATGGCTGAAAAGGAGGAAGAAATGGCACGAGCTCAGAGGCAGGCACAAGAACAGCTGGAAGAATATCAGCATCTCTTAGATGTGAAACTGGCTCTGGATTTGGAAATAAATGCCTACAGAAAGATGCTGGAAGGAGAGGAACAGAGGTAGGCTATGAGGAGATCTTCATATGAGGACTTGCTTCATTTAAGACATCTACACTAACTGTATACCTTCAGAATGTGCAGAAGACAAGACACAAACATTATGTCATTAAGTGCAGTAACTTAGTTAATGAAACATATCTTCTGTAGATGGTATTTATATCCCACATCTAACACACGGTGTAGTAAGATGAAGTAGCTTGATAAACCCAACTGATAAAATTCAAAGGTCCATTAGACATTCCTCCACTTTCTCAAAGTTTTGTGCTACATCTTAAAGATCTATCAAAGACAGTGCTCAAGTTTCATCAGTGAAACTGAGAAACTGTATCAACTCTTATCTGTCCAGTCATGGCATCTCACTTGCCTGGTGAGAACATGAACTCTCAATATATGCTAAGAAGGGTCAAAAACTTAAAATTAGTTTCACTGAAGATTTGTCTGTAGAGACTTTAAAGGAATAGTTACTGCAGTTGGGAATCTCTTCTTATCAATATAAGCTTGCTCTGGACTTGAGAGCTGGGGCTGTCTTCCAGACTTAACAAGTCTTAGCTACTCTTGCCAATAGAAATAAAATCTTATATTCAAGACTTCATGGAAAGCTTGGATAGAGGAAGCTGTTAGGCTTGGTTATAGTAGGAGGATGGGATTGAGAAGAAATCAAGCAGGTCAGATAGTCAAGGGGATGTTCTCTGACTCTCCTCTAGGCTAAGGCTGTCACCCAGTCCATCTTCACATGGCATGGCAACTCCAGCAACAGGTAGAGGGAGGAGGATTCTGCATGGGAAGAAAAGGAAAGTGAAAGAATCCAAAAAGAGAGAGTGTGGTGCTGCAATTAAGACTGTTCAGCATGCCTCAGCTTCTGGAAATATATCCATTGAGGAGATCGATGCAGATGGGAAATTTGTCAGGCTTAAAAACAACTCTAACGAGGTACTTTTGCTTTCATGGCTTTCATTGCAAATATGACTGTTTGTAAATGACTTGTAGCTTAGTGACAGACTAGAGACTGACTTCTTTGGTACTGCAGGTGTTCTGTTCACAGGGCTGTCTGAGAGGTGATTTTGGGTGGAGTTACAAGGGGTTCTGTTATGCAGAAATCTAACACCTTCAGCTGTTTGTCATCAGATTCAGGCTAGCACTATCAGAAGTACTACTTATGCTTGATGAACTAAATAGGGTTCTTAGTAAATTGGATCAGGACAGCCTCTTATTGCTTAAAAGTACTTAAAACAGCTAAAAGATCAAATAGAGGTGATATCTAATCCATGTGGAGGGTTTATCTGACCAATTAGGTAGTTCTTTGACAAGTTCAGTTTGCAAAGCCAGAACTATTAGAATTAATCATAAGGGCTTCAAAACATGTAGCTTGTAGTCTAGCCTCTTCAGCCTGACATGCCTTAAGACTTCACAGGGCACTATGTGTTTTTTATATACATGGCTCAAGTTGGGTAGGTGGGCATGGTTCTGATGAACTTCATTTATCAGAATCTCCCTGGTAAAGAGCATCATGATCCCCCCTTCAATGGAAGGCAAGAATAGGTGTGGCTTAATTTATTGGACTAAGGAGAATCCTAAAATACAAGGAGAAAACATAGTGAGCCTTTAATGGAAACTTGACTGCTTCCTCAAAATTGGTCACATTCTTGTATGCTACGGGAGTGGGATTAAAACTGACCCATGAGTCTGGAAAGAACCTTGCACTTGCATCACATGATGTTGGCCTGCAATGCTGAGTGAAGTTTCTTGTCCCACAGGATCAACCTCTCCATGGATGGGTGCTGAGACGACATATTGGAAGTGTGTCAGATGTTACGTACAAGTTTCCTTCGCAGTTCACTCTTCAGGCAGGCCAAGTAGTTACAGTAGGTAGTGGTTTTGTCAGACTTTCTCAGAGCTCTATTCCTATGTTAGATGTCAACAGAGATTCCTGTAATATGGAAAACTAAACTGATACTGCAAGTGCTTGAAGGACTGAAGTTCTTATTTTACGTGGTGAGGGATATGGGGGAAAATCCTTCCAGCAACTTGATCTGAAATGCCAGTTAAATTTTCTTTAAAGCTTGGATGGAACCTGGATCATCCCAGATTGGAATGTGCTCTAATTGTGAACAGAATCATTGTATTCTAGTTTATTCTTAGGGTTCCTTAAGTATAGTATTGTACTAAGCTAAACATTAGCACTAAATCGTACTCTTAAGTACATTTAGATAAAGAGCCAAACTCTACACTCGCTACTCCAAATGGTGTAGGAGGTTGCTCAAGAGATCTGTGAGTGACCAGGAGAGAGGCTCTTGTACACACAAATTGCTGCCCTGAGCATGCCTGTGACTATGGCTTGGCTCTGTGACTCAAATGTTATGCATGCCAGGCAGGGCTACCTCTACATCAGGTAGAAGCTGTTAACAGCTTTTTCTGCATTAAGTGTTTTACAGTTTTCAGTAAAAAACCCCAAAAAAAAATCTTTACCATCATTCTTGGTATTCCTGAAAAGAACTAACTTGCCAGGGATCACAGTGATTCATTTCTGTTACTGAACATCTCTGGTATTGCAATACATGATAGTTATGTGGATTAGACTGAATCCTACTCTAACTACAAAGATTCTTCAGAAGCTCACTCTGAATCTGTTGCAGATCTGGGGTGCAGCTGCTGGTGTAAGCCCAGGTCCCAGTGATCTGGTCTGGAAGTCTCAGAGGTCTTGGGGAACTGGGGATAGTATTGATGTTACACTTATCACAGATGATGGTGAGGTAAGTGAAATAGTAAATAGCTTCTACTGTCCTAATACTAAACTTGTTTGTGCTTAATCCATGAGGATCCTTGGTGGCAATTCAATTGTATTGTAGGAACTTGCAGAGAGGAAGATTACATTTGTACCCAGAGGAGAAGAAAGCAGTGAGCAAGATGATGATTATGAAGAAATAACTGGAAGTGAAATGGAGTTTGCATCTCAGGTAAGCTGCCTGAAGCTTAAATGCATGCCATTAGCAGAGTCACTCAATGGACACTTTTGTATACTAAACCAAAATCCTTCTTCAAGTACTATTAATATCCTTCAACTATTAATGTTTTTCTTGATGTCAGACCAAAAGAAGAAGAAAAAAGAAATGTTGTTTGGTTTCATGATAGTGGTTCCTGTGAGAATCCTTAAGCAGGTGAGGTGGTGAGAATCATGCTTGTCATCTCATAGAAAACTTGCTTCATTAGTGGTGCTGCAGTCTCTTGTCCCACATAGGATGTAGCTTGCATGGCTTTGCATTAGTAATGCAGTGATGTTTTGCTTATTCTCTGGCTGAGTATGCTCAAATAGTAGCATTAATTATTTGACATCTTACTACTGACACACTGAAACATACGACCTCTAACGTCTGTTTCATCTAAATATCTGACTGTGTATTAACTTAGGAGCTCTTATCCCACAAACAGAATGCAAACACTATTTTTGTGGGATGAAGTGACTTATCTGACAGTTCAGTGTCCCTGGCTTGCTCTTAAGGTAAATTCAGTGTGAATTTAAGTTGAATATACTTGCAAACCCTGGCTACGAACTTACACGTTGTAATGCCCTGTGCAAGACTCTGCAGCCCCTTCAATGGCTCTTGACTAACCACATTACACATCTGCACTGATACATGTTGGATGCTGCCACTGCACTTTGATATACTCGTAGTCTGCTACCTTTAATTGCTGAAGTTGTCTAAAACAACTAATATGAGACTTTTAAACTGGTTATAACTGAACAATTATAACTGTTCTTGACCCAAATTGGTTTGTGTCTTGACCTGAAAGAGCACCACGTCCCCTTTGCTAGTACAGACTTCAAGGCCTGAAGTGCAAGGTTGTGCCCAGCTAAAAACTTCCTCTTGCTGACACATGTTAAGCCACCACAGCTCTTCCTAAAACTGATCCTACACAGTTACAAGGAGGATTTGCATCTTATTGCACTAAATCTTAAAGCTCCCACTACCATGTCCTAAATATTTTCATAATATGCCTGAAAACTAACTCAAAAATGCCTTTGTACTGTCTTTCTGGAGGAATGTACCCAAGAACAAGCAGTTACTGCCTGCTTTTTTTTTCCTGTCCTTTCAAACAGAAAATCTGGATAAATGTTACTACAATACCATGTGGCTTAAAGGATGTTTATCAGTCTCCTGACTTGCATGCACACTCTTGTAATATTTTCAGTCTCTCACTGAAGATGGTTATGAGGCTTCTGAGAGAGGTTCTATAATGCTGTTCTGCCCTTTAGGATCTTAATGCACACAACAAAATGGTTGAAGGAAGCTTTAGACTCATGAAGAGACTTACCAAAAAAGGCTTCTTTTCATATTCAGAGTAGGGCCTCTCCTTCAGGGTAGCTTCTTTTTATTTTAAAAGGTGGGGTTTTTTGAGTTCTATGGCTTGTTTGGTATTCAGTGATGGAAAGCAAAAGTAACTTTTTTCCTTACACCTCTAATCTGTTTTATCAGCAATTTTACAATACAGTTGTGACATTTATGGTAAGAGTCAATTCTATAATCCTTCCAATCAAATGTTAATGTCTTTCCTGTCTGCTGAATTCCCGTTAAACTGTAACACTAGTAGCTATGTGCTTCTGCTGCATTGGTAGTACTGGAGTGGCAGCTTAGTAAACAACAGTAACCTCTTGCATGCAGTGAAGTGATGGGAAGAATGCATGCTGTGCTTTAAAGGAAGGCAGGGTTTCCAGACTTCTTGCTTCTGCTTTCACCATCCTAACCAGGGCAGCATGAATCTGCATGCCAGTGAAGTTCTGATGGTAGTGAGCTTGACAGCCTTTCATTAAGGAAGGCACAGGCTCATGTATTGCATGGCCTCAAATTCTTACAAGTTTGTAGTCTTTCTCCCCACCCACAAACCACCTAGTACAGTTCATGTATGTCTCTCTTAAAAATCTGCTTTATTAATTAACTAAATCTACAGAACACTAAAACGTCTATATGAGGATCAAGTAGGTAACCAGCAAGAAATAAGAAGTCTGTGCACATGCTAATTAGGCTAATGTCTTCATGTTTTCTTTCTGCAGCAAAATGAGGATCCCAGCTGTTCTCTCATGTAACGTGGACAAAGAGACAATCATCTGAAAACATCTCTGAGTCCCAGGTGACATAGACTGTACGTGTTTTGGTATCTTCTGCAATATCTGGAACTTGGAATTCACATCACGCCTTGATGTCTTTGTAAGAAACATTGTCCACAACATGATGGAATTTCCTACCTTCTGATACTGGACCCTGTCCTTGGATTCACTGTTACGAAGAGCAGTAGAATGCAAGCTCCACGTGAAGTTATTTTTACTTTTATACAGGGATCTGGTTTCCATGACCTGCTGAAACAGAGGAGGGTACAGAGTTTACAAAGCTTCTAAACATGTGCTCTAGAAGGATGTTAAATACTTGACAATGAACATGAGGCTGCCTCAATATTCTGATACAGTGTTTCTCCAAAGGTAACTTCTCTTTTAAGCCTGAGTGGGAAATGGGACAGATCACACTCTGGCTTGCCCCTTGAGCAAGTCTAAAGTTAAAACATTGTCCTGAAGAGTGATGAGTGTCTGAAATGTTTCCTGCTCATGCAGGAATATATGAAAACTGGCCGAGAGCACTTGCTGGAGTGAAACACATTAAAAGCAAGTTGTAAAAAATATTTGTGCCTGGTAATACACGTACTGTTTCTATATTCTAGCACCTGGAAATGCCCCAGTTTCAGTATTGTATATTCCTAGATACAGAATATCACAGCATAACTGTGCCAACCTTAACTTGGACAAATGTATCCTGTAAATGTGAAAAAGCATCTCAGTCCAACAGGACAGGTACTGTGACTAGTGCTGTTGGCACTGTTTGAATAGTCCCAACAACTGCTCTCTAAGGGGCTAGGAAGAAAAACATACTTAAAATAAACATGAAAACCAGAAAGCACCAAACAGTAGTGAAAGATGCATTGAAACAGCTGCTCTTAGAGTGCTTATGTACTGAATCCCTGCAGTCTGCAGCACTGGGCTGTGTCCAGTGGGCCAGCTGGAGGAACACTTGACTGTTGGCCAGTGTGCTATCATGGATAGCTCTGGGTCCATGAAAAGCCTGTCCTGTAACCCTCAGGAACAGGCACTTGGCCTCTGGGGGCACTGCAGTCACTCTCTGCCTCTCTTCACTGAACTGACCAGCTAGTCCTGAGGGGGAAAGGAAGGGCCTGGATGAGCCACTGGAAGGACACTTTTACTTTAGAGCAGCTGAGCCTGCAGACTTCTCTCGATGCTGGAATAGTGTTTTGACTCTTTTATCTTGCCAAAGTACTCGGCTCCAAATTCAAGACCCTGATGTTTTAGGATGTAGGTGTTAAGGTGCTTATGCTAACTTAAGCTTTTACATGATCTGAAAGTTAGTTTTGAGACATCAAGAGTAGATGCTGGTTTAATACTTGCAATTGTAGCAGACCCAAATTCTGTTCCACCTGAAACCATAGAAATAGCTGCTGCTATAACATTGCTGTATTTGTCTTGATTTCTTAAAACTTTTTTAACTACTAAAGATATTTTTCATGTATATAAAAGTCTTGGATATAAAAGTCATGTATATAAGTCTTGGATTTGAATATTTGCAAATTAAATAATAAAGGTCTGTTTATTCATTGATTTCAGTTGAGTGGTTCAAAAGACTTCAGAGTAACAAAACTGGTAAGTTTAGGGACTGCAGAGTGAAGAAGCCTTCAGAACTGTACTCTGCTCTCCTGTTTATATTAATCACTCATTTCACATAAAGCTGGCCTGCTCTCACCTTGATTTAAGAGGAATCTTCAGCATTTCAAGTAAAACCTGCACTTTCACTGCACAAGGGAAGAGCTGAAGTAGTATACAAGTCTTGATAGGAAAGAGCAGCAGCATTAGATGTTTGCACATCAACAGTCCAGGAAACAAGTCTGACTTCCATTTACTCAATTCACAGTCTACAGGATAGTTTATGTTGTTTTTCCTTAGCATGCAACTTTTTATAAAGGCAGATATAGAAGAATCAATTCTCTGCTGTGCAAATGGTCTTCCTGATAGGAAACCTTAATGTGAGTTGGTAAAGTCCATAGACCATGGGAAACCCTAATGGATAACAGTGTAGAGCTTTTGATTCGGCTTTGCTTCCAGGTTACTAATTTTGCACTTTCTACTTCTAATGAGGCATCTATTGCAGCTGACCAGGAGCTCTATACTAAATGGCAAGCTGCCTACTGAGAAGTGTATTGGGAAGTCAGATCTTTATTCTGTGGATGTGCATTTGTGCATATATAATTCTTTCCTTCAGGGAATTCTGTTGAGGTGAAAGGGAGATTTCAATTCCTCATTTATTGCCTGTACTGGAAAGGTAAGGGCAGGTAAGATCCCTCTTATAAAGGAGGAAAAGCAAAAGCAGCTGGGAATCCTGAACAGTTGTCTCAAGCATTTTATATTCCGAACTTCATAGCTACTTTCATTCAAGAACCAGGCCAAGACAATTTTCTTTCCATATTGTTGCTCTGGTAATTAGTAATTCAGAGATGATGTGCCTGCAGGAGCAGACTCCAGGAGAAGCTGCAAAGGATAACCCTCCTCTTCTTTTGTGACCATTGTGCAAGTCTAGACCAGAGGTGAGAGAAAGCAGAAAACCATGGGGGAGCTATTTGTGCTTCTTAAAAGGCACTGCACCTGTTATACACATGAAATTCTTTCCTCTCTAGGGAATGCTGTTTCAACTGGACTACAGAACCAGCTACAGCTTGAAACTCTGAAGGTGGATTCAGGACAATTTACCCATAAAGAATTCAGCTCTCTTTTCATCAATTTATCTTGTATGGAGAGCAATAGGCAAAAGACCACATCTTCTTCTGGGGCTGCTGACTTGATCTGGTCACTACTCCATCACTAAACATGCAAGAGATGGCTAACAGAGAAACACAGTGACTCTAACTTCATTCGGATAAGTACTTAAGGCTGGAATTTGTCCTTAATTTTGATGCTTTTTTTTAGCATATTTTTAGTTATCACATCTTTTCCTTACCACCTCATTTTCTCTTTTTCCTCCTTTCCATCCCTTTCAGCTAAACATAAAAAGTAGAAGTGTTTTGACTTGTCATTTCTTTGCAGTAGGCACCAGGAATACCTATTTCTCTCACTGGTGTTCTGTACAACCCCTGTGGAACTAGAAGCAGTTTGTACTTAGTTCCAAGGAATTTTGTCTCTTATCCTCCTCCTAGAAAAGTTAGACATCATAAATGCTAAACAATCAGTAGAGGTGGCAAGGTGATTAGAATTCAGTGCCTGAGGTGTTTTAAAACTAATACTTTATTCATGCATTTTTAATGTAGCATTGTTTTTGTCACTGAAAGCTCATATACTCAACAAAAGTGACCTCCAGTTCAAAAACAAGTGCCAGAACTATAGGTATAGAAGCAGCAGCCACTCTTCTTATCCCACAGAAATATTTATTCAGTTTGGTCAGTAAATTATAGGAATTTTCAATGCTGAGAACTTGTACTTAGTACAACATCATCATCATATTGACAACAACCACTTTGCCTTTTGTCAACATACAATGTGAAAGATGTATTAACTTGTTCACAATAAATTACAGTGTGATAGATGAAAAGAGCTCAATGACATCAGTAACTTAGGAACTGGTTACAGTTAGCTTCACTAACAGTATTTTTAAAAATGGTTTTCAATAGTAAAATCATCGCAGCCAAAGGTAAAAAAAAAAATGCACATACAATAATAGCGAGGAAATGCATTTTTGGAGCAACAGTGACCTACCAGTAAACACTTCATACAGTGATCTTCAAGGCACAAAGCAAAAAAACTAGGTATGGGTTTTTTTGCAGGTTGACAAATCAGGGAAGGTGAAATTTTTCTGAATATAAAATAAATACATTTTAAAAAGACGCATACAAAAGTCAGTAAGTCAGTCAAATAGCAAGGCTTTCACAGAATGCCACACTGACAGAACATTTGTGAATCCATTTCAGTCATGAAATCATGTTCACAGCTCAAATGACACAATCACTGAGGCAAGGGAACTATCACTTCAACATAATTAATGGGGAAGAAGCCAGACTCTCCATTTAACATCCCCTCATACCAATTCTCATCGATCTGATTGGTCAGAGTTATGATGTCCCCTTCCTTAAACCCAAGCTCGCCTTCATTTTCTGGCTCAAAGTCGTAGAGAGCTTGGCAGCAAGGCTGATCCATGTGCACTGAAGAACCTGCCCCAGTGACAGAAAAAACAACCATATTAATCAAGCTTCACAGCATCCTACCAGTCACTAAGCATGAAACAAGGGTCAAAAATGTAGCCCTGCTGTCCTGTTGATAGTTTTTCCATTGCTTTTACCTACTACCATCTGGTGCTTCTGCATATAAAATACAAGACCAGTGATAATAAGTTTCAAGTGTAATTCTGTTCCTCCCTTAAGTACAGATGCTACTCCATTTCCATTCCTAGCTGCCTTCCCTTTGAAAAGGATGTTTATCTCAAACTGAAGGTTCGAGTAATCCGTTGTCAAAACCAGTGTGGTCTCTGGAGCAGCTGCCACAGAGGAATCGGAAGGGCAGGAGCTGAGGAAGTAGAACAGTCAACAGGGGAAATGACAAGGGATCATTTAAACAAATTGCAGAGCAGCCCCGTGATCCTGTGTGGATACCACCAGAGGGCAGGGGCTCTGAGTCCCTCCTCCCTGCACACACCTGCAGCCTGGGGGCAGCCACCTGGACTGTCACACTCCTGGTGCCTTTGCAGGAGCAAGGCTTGCACCCTCCCCTCAGCTGAGCAGTGACAGGCACTTCTGGGCTGCTGGTCCCCGAGCTGTTGTACAGCAAAGGTTATGCTGGGAACAGCGGTGCCTGTCAAACTATTTTAGGGATGAAAACAGTTTTCCAATACAGCATCTGGCTGTTCTTGTGACACAAACTGTTTGCCCTGTGATAAAATCTTCATTCCAAATCACTCTTTTAAAATATTAGTGGTACCATATGCAAATGTAATAGTAAGTACATCTATTTACAGGAAAACAAGTAAATATAAATATAATGTATAATATAAAGTATAAAACAGAACTGCCATTAGCAAAGGAAGTTAACCTTGTAAATGCAGTTACTTTTTATAAAGATATTCTCATGAAGGGCTGTTAATTGTCTTGGTTTTGTGGTAAATATGTATATATGTAATATATTAATTCATATTTATGAATAATAACTTATTCTAATAAAATTTAACATTCAAATTGTAAAGCTTTGCTCTGTAAAGCTTAGCTCCATGGCCAAGGATAGCCAGAGGTTCAACTGCAGTTCAGCCATAACATATTTTTTACAAACATATTAGTATATCCAAGTGAAAGTCTGGTAATTTGAAATACATTTTTAAAGCAAGAACAGGAGAAAAGATTTCCTGCTGCTGCCATGTAAACAGCAGTGCAACAGCTGGTAGCATGACACCTCTAGAACACTATGCTTACATTAAACAGTTAAATCTCTTAAATATTAAGTTATTCAGGTTGTCTTATTTGGAACATTGCAACAATTTTCTGGTATTCCAGTCTGGACTCTCTCTCCCAGCTATCCCACATGCTAATCATGCAATCGCCTTTTTGATGGGTAAATCTGCATACAACTAATAATGCAATACAGATATAATAGCTAAGATGGCAAAAATGCCTTTTCATCTGTTAATCATAGTAATGCATAGAAAACTATTAAAAAGAAACTTTTCAGGCATTTTCTAGACAGAGGAATTAAGTCTCTTAAGGAAACCAGCTGAGAACTATTTTGATGATCAGTCAGTGAGAACAGACAGGTTGAAAGCATCTTTTTAATTGACAATAATACAACTGGGGAAGTATCTGGTGTTATAAAACTGGCAAGTAGGAATTACCTTTCTATTTTGTGGGTATGTTTTATGCTTTATAGCAACAAAAGAGAGCTTTTATTTATAACAATGGGAGAGAATTGCCAGCAGAGATCAGCAAACCTCTCCAGAGCAGCACTGTCACCGTGCCAGCCTCATCCTCTGCCTCTGGAAGGCTCAGGATAATTTTACAGGTACAGACTAAATTAGGGCTGGTCTAATACACTGGTCCAGGGGAAAGCCTGGTTCTCCTATTTTTGCTGAAATAGTCCAAGCAGAAATAAAGATGAGTCAGCTGCCCAGCAAAAACGGACTGTGTTTAAAACCAAAGTGGACTGATTGTGTTAAAAATAGCTGAGTTATTTTCAGCCTTCGCCAAGGTGGAACTGGTACCAGCTCTCTGGAACTGTCAACAGCAGAAGGCAGCGCTCAGAATAATCGACAGAGTTCCTCACTTTCACCAGCTGCTCCAATGGGGCTAATTTATTATTGCAGGCCAGTTAATTTCTGACAGTAAGGTACCTGATATGAGATGGATCACATTTGGTTCATTTTAAGCTCCAAAGAACTGAAAAGATGTCTGGCAGCCTGGAAAGACTTTCAAATAATGGTCACAGCCAGCACAACGGGTTTCACTCCAGGCTGCAGGATCAGTCAAAGTCTTCATTAGAGTCAGGCAGCTGCTGCTACTGTATAATCCAATGAGACAAAGCTTCCCTGACAAAGGTAACGGGGGCAGCACTGCCTGACAGTCTGCAACACACTCTGGTTAACATCACACAACTGCTGGCACCACTCCAGCCTTTTGCTGTCTATTAAATACTTGCACATACATTGCAGAGGTTTCAGCTGAAGAAACTGCACTCTTATATTTCTGCAGACAGGACTTATGTTGATTTGCAACTCCAACCACATCTACTTTATTTCTCTAGTTGTGGGGTTAAATCTGTCACACTTTCCTGTCACCTTCAAAAAAGAATTGTCATTAACTTTCAGACCACTCAGGCCTGGACAGCAAAAACCAGGTTAAGCAAATAACTGTCTGTGATTTCTGGAGTGTTACAGGATGAAGGCAGAATGCCATTCAATGACAGACTGGTTTTTTGCTTGCTTGTTTTCCCCAAAGGGAGTTACTGCCTGTACCTGCATCTACTCTGTCCCCTATACCATGCTGTATACATAAGATAGCAAGACTACTTTAATAATTGCAAACTGGAAGCTTACTAACATAATTAATCCCAGTCTCCCTTGTAGCTGAAGTGAGTAAACACTTAAATGCTTATGTTAAATTCCAGCACGTGGCAACCAGATCCATTTACTTCATATCAGAGTCAAACCTGACAAACAAAAGGAGTGAAAGGCATGATGTAATACAGCAATTACAGAGTTCTAAAATGAGCCAGATGATGCTCACAGCTGCAGCTGATTAATGAGGATAACAAAGAATTAGAACTAAAATACAGATTTTTTTTTTAATCTGTGCTTACTCAAAGCAGCCAAATAAATCACAACATAAAAATTAGGTTTATCTAGCCCTGCAAATGTGTGCAAGTCATTAGTAGTAAATAATCCCCACGTGTTAGAGACCATACAAAGGAAAATACAATTTCTGCCCCAAGAAGCTGATA